GTAATAATTCTAAAAATAATAAGTCATATCTCAAAGGCAAAGCTACAACCTTCACATCCTACCTATTAATTGATTTATTTTCTGTTCTCTATAATATATATTATAAGAAAAGTTGTCATATGACCAAAACTTATATTCTTTTCATTGATTTCGAGGTCAGTAGAAATTAGTTAAGCGCTGGTGAATTTTAATATTAAATTATAAGTTATTGTGGAAAATAAATGAAATGAAAACTTACAATTTAACAATGAGAAATATTTATATGTCCACTGTTTTACCTAATCTCAATAAGATATATTTAATTATTGTTCTTTTATGGTAGCCAACATTTAGAAAAATTTTTATTTATCAGATACAAAAATTCCAACAATAACTAATTGTACGCATATGATGTCATATCAAATGTACAAATGTTAATTATAAATAAAAAACATTTGGCCCCACGTAATGACTCAAAACTACCTTTTTACGGCGCAGTATAGTGAAAATTTTTGTTGCATTCTGCATTACATGACCAACAATTCGTACATGTATTATTTACATCATAGCAAACATGGAGGTACTTACAATGCACAAATCATAACATAAGTGGTATATTAAAGTATGTGAATTCTATGCAAGCGCCTGCTCGAATACGTAATAGTAATAAAATTTTCACTATTTTGATATGGGATTCTTAAAGATCTTTTAAAATTAGGTGTACTCTAATTTTTTCAGTTTTTACTATATCCAATTTAATAATATTTAAGTTGGAAGTTTTACTTCTACCAGGTTTCCCAAGATCCACACCTGGTTTTTTTTAATAAGACGCTTTTTGTTATAAAAAGTGTCAAGAATAAATATAAAATTTTTAACTGAAAACTTTTTACATTACATGTTAACGTACTACGATGTTCTATTCAGTGAGTTTCAGGCCAAGCTGAGAGAAGGGGGGCTGCTAGTTAGATATTAATAGACTTGTTATTTATTGACGAACAACAAAGTATAAACTGAAACTACGGAATAAAAAAAGAATATATACATTTTACGAATTGTGAATAGAAACCCACTAGTGTTCAAAAATATCATATAGCTAAGCTCACTCGTGCTAACTGTAAGTTTGCTAACTGTAACAGCTACATTTCCATACGTGTACATAAGCTTACTGCGTGTGGATTTCCCCACCCAAAACAAACGAGGGTGGGGTGTTTTCCATCCATTTCCACCTACTCCACCACTTTTGGGTATAGTAGCATGAGTACTGTATACTATAGTATAGGAAACAGTTAAATTACTAAAATTAATATTTTAATAATAAGAACAAGATCATTGATAGTAAAAAATTTTAAAGTTAATAACCTGTAGCTCCTATCTGTCAAGATAATGTTTCGTTCTTCTTCGAAATGAACAACAAATTTCTATATTAAATGAATGTAGAAAAAAATTATATTTGCTCTATATAATGTTAATAACTGTGTATTTTTGTAACACGTGTACACAATCTCATCAGAGCTTTAGAATAAACTGATTCTTTAAGTAGTTCAATTACTAACAGAAAAATTAGTTTATTCAAGAGCTCGTAACGAACCACGAGTGCATTTCATATAAAAACGCAGTTATTAATAAACAAAACTGAAGGAATCAGAAACTATTCTTTTATTTACTTCATATCATACACTTATCTGAGATTAGAGCGTGAGCAAACTCTGAAAGAAATTTTGGGTGGTGATTAACTACTTTATATTCCATTCCTTGAACCTACCATCATTTACATTCTATAATCCTTACGATTGTCCTACATATTTGCTTGTCACTAATAAGTGAGCAAATTTTTATCCTGCGCAAGAATCATCTGTGGCTAAGATCGTTAGCTAAGCCACATTAAAGATTCCTGCCAACAATCTAGAAGGATACGTTCAAGTTCCATCCTTTTCCAATTTCTTTTTTCGTTACAAAGAACTTCATGCTAATATTAAATTGGACTGCTAGAATATTTGAGTAATTATATTAGTTTACACAAGAGTTTACGACAGACTGTAAACCAGACTGTAAGTGTATTGCACAAGAAAACAAATGATTAAAATTTAGTCTCAAAAAAAATTTACAAAATATTTAACTTTTTTTTTTAATTTTTTTTTCATAAGCATTTAGAAGAAGAGTAATCGTGAGCAACATATTATTTATGAGTATATTAATTTTACCACTTATATTGTTGAATTTTCTGATACCCTACTATAGAATATAATCAGTAACTTAACGAACGGAATTATTATCATCATAAACATAAATGTAAGGATGTCTGTCTAATTCATTTATATTCTCTTCCAGTTGTTTGAGCTTTTCTTCTAAACTGGTTTTCCTTCTTATTTTTGCAACCGAATCAACAAGGAATGGCAGGCATTGAAACTTTTTGATAGTTTTTTCCCATTTGGTTTTTAATGCCTAAAAGAAAGCAAAAAAATATGTATTTTTACCGGTTTGATTATTATTATTATCAATTTTTAATGTTTCTACAACTTACATAAAGCAGCTCTTTTCTTTGATCTTCAGTGACATATACACACAACGGTTTCTTATCTTTGAAATTATTTCTTATGTCCTTAAATTGTGTACCAACCATCATTTTTTCAATTTTCTTAGGAACCATACTAAAATTCTGAAATCAATTTAAAAGTTTTTGACTGCAAAATATTTTTTGTTGAGTTTCTATAGTGAAATGTACATAACTTTTTGCAAAGTTACTAAATAACTTACTATAGATAATATACTCGAATAAAAATTGTGTAAACAGGGGGTCTTTTTGATAATTCCAAAGAACATACAGTTAATGTATACAAGAAAAGCCACAATAAATTAGTTTAAATATATTATGGTGGCTCATCACATGTGTACTATCTGATTGCGTGACATCAGTCCATCAGACCTACAAACATCCGGTCATACCGCTACCATAGCACAAGTAACCTGTGTCTTTTCATACGTAATTACCTTTTTGATAGCCAATACCAAAATATTACCTGGTACACCTTTTGATATCATTGAGAAGCTTATAATTTTTACTTTCAATTCTTAATTTTATACAAAGTGTTAAGATGTATATTGGAAAACATCGTTACATTGTTAATCAATATTGTATGGCCTTCCATGAGAGCCCCACTAAAACATTAATTTTTAAGAAATTTGTTTCCAAAAAATTGTCTGGCAACACAGCTTCAAACTTTTAGAGGTGATTCAGTTCATATTCAAGTATGATTCCTCCAAGTTCCGTTGATACTTAAGGTATTTCGATTTCGTAATGAGCCACCTTACGAGGAATTTGATAAATTTTTTTTTTTCATAAAATTAATGCATAAAAAACTTAATAACTTTTTTCTAAAAGAATATGCATTCAACTCTGTAATCCATAATAAAAAAGTTTAAGGGTTCTAAAAAAGGATACATTAGTAATGTAATGAAGCTTTAAAAATTTGTTGTTTGTTTTACCTGCAAATTTTCTACTTTTTATCTATAGCGCTATCAAAAATTAGTTTTAAATAATTTTTTTAACTAAATATTGTGAGTTTTTGATTAGTAATTGTTTTAAGAAAATGAGAGTCTAAAATATTGACATTGCACTTCCTTCTCATAGCATTACAATGTTTTGCTTACTACAGCATTAAAGTCAGCAAATAAAAATTCTAAACGTAAATGTCAAAGAAATATTAGTCGTTGTAGTGTCAATTGCTAGTTTTAAATGTTGCAGTTTATTTATCCTACACAAGTAGAAAACATTAATTATACCATGTTTTAAGCAAGTTCTATCCCTTGCCATAGTCGATGAAACGCTCTCTATAAATCAAGTTCAGTGTGTCGTCTGTCTCTTTTGTACTCCCACAAAAACATAACCCTTAGTAGTATTTACCATGATTACTAATTAATTTTTCTTGTCAGCACCCCTGAAATTGTTTAATAAAATTAAATACAATGATGAGATATTTTTTTATTATTAGTACAATTTTCATTATATGTTCTTTGTCAACAGATAAGATAAATTTAATAGAAGTGCATCAAAATATATAGAGTTATAAGCGTATAAGCTAACTTTTCGCTAATTTTCTTAGTATTGTTTAAAAAATATGTATAAGTTATGTACTATTTATATACAACTAATATAGAAGCGATGTTAAATTATGTTGGGAAGAAGATTTGATCCAATTTATGCACAATTTTCTAGAAAGAAATTCTTATGAGACTGAGTAGAACTTTTACTCCATGTTTTCAACCATGGATGTGAGTGGTACTTACATTAATTAGCTAAAAATTAGGAAAAAAATCCCCAAAAGTTTGTAATAATAGTCAAGTAACGTTTTTAGCGTCTAGAAAAAAAAAAATGTCAAACCTAAGAAGAGAAAAAATAAAAGAAAACAATTGTGGTTAAGAAGATACGCACTTTTAACAGTAAAAGAAATTAGTATGTAAGGATTAAAATCATTATATCCGTTCTTTGACAAATTGCGATAAGCTGTTATTTTAGGATTATTTAAAAAAAATTCATTACTTGTGTTTTTATGAATATAAAGAGTTTAAAGTAAATTACAAAATAGGTGTTGTGTCCTTTAACATCCACACAAATACCAAAAAAATTAGTTCTGATTTTTTTGCAAGCCGCTGAAAAAAAGGCTGACCTAAAAAATACCCCTAAAAAAGTTGTTAGCCCACCGAGAGCGTTATTCAAACGTTTTTTTGTTTTCCAAAAGTAGCTTCCTAGGGTATCTTAATGTTGTTTTGTTTGACCTCATGCAAGTACGGAAAAAACCGATGGTAAAAACCAGCAACCAATTGTGGGTGTGTGGTGTGGCAAGCTTTACCTTCTGTTCCCTCAACAAAGCAAGACTTTGGAAGTAGTAAGCGTGAGCATGCAGAATAAAAACGAGCATTAAAAATAACAATATCTTTGGAACTGTGCAACGTTAATTCATGATTTTTTGATGTAAAATCATACTGTTGATCTTCTGTTGATTTATGATTTTTGTATTTAAGGGGGTCGTGTCACAATTTAAAGTCAATGCGTGTTCTAAAATAAATTATGTGCTCCAAAACACACAAGTAAAAATAAATGTAACAACGCTGTATGAGGCGAAAGCCCTCTGTATATCTATACGTATAGAGTGCATGGTGACTCAGTCGGCTGGGTCGTGGGTCAGCACGCGGGAGACCACCGTTCGATTCCTGGCCAGAGCGATTTTTTCAGGCAACTACCTCTGTGAGATTTCACACGTGCTTCTTTATCACGCAATGCTCCTCGAGGAGGGATATAGGCAACCTCGCAGCCAAATTGCCTAATTCTCCCCCTACCCACCTTCCAGTAATGGTAGGCCTCTTTCCTTCCTTCTCCCAGGTGCTAAGTGCCCTGAGTAGTGCCTTTTATATGAGCCGAACGTAAAGCACTGTAATACAAAAAAAATAAAATCCATACGTATACGTATCGATACGTTCGGAGGTTATATTGTACGCCAACATTGAGTTGGTGGTAAAATCTCTGTTGCAACATCTTCACCGATTCTTCAATACACACTTTTTATTTGTTATGACTAAACAACGGTAATGCTACGGGTACTGTTTTTGAAATATGGTGCTTAAAACATACTATTTCACATTATATTTTAATTTCAGCAAAGTCTGGAATTTTTTTTTTATTGCTATCTGTAAAATACTCTTTTTCCAATAAGAGTACGTGTAAAATATATAATTTATGTCTCAAAAACGGTAAAGCTAGTGTGTCTGAAGTTTTAATATGTTGTTTTAATATGTTGTAGTTGTTAGCTTATCCACATTTTTTCAAGGAGTTCCTAAGTTTTTTTATTTTGTGACACTATCTTAAGTGTAGCTTTGGATGATAATGTTATTGCACATACTTTTGCAAATTAACTGAAGAAAATTATCATCCATATGATACTGCTTGGTACTACTATTACCAAGTGTTCACAATCTTTGAAGTAATTGACGATGACTTAAATAATTAAACGTTAATTAAACAACTATTATTTATAGTAGCAATAGTGACAGTTTTTGTAATATGCAATGAAAAATAATAATCATGATAATATAAAGTTTAACACTAATATCTTTGTTACATGTTTTGTATTTTATTTATCGTGATATTTGTAATACTATTTAAATATTACAAACTTTTTTTTATACCATAAAATGAGCCGAGCTTACAGATTATAAGAAGCCAAGTAGCCCTATGAACTACAAAGAGACAGAGCTATAGAGAATCAAAACAAATAATAACAAAGTCAACTTATCTACAATGAAAAGATTTTGTTTCACACAATATTCTTTACTTTAACGTCATTTTCATATTAATTTTGTACAAAAATACCATACTTTGTTGTGCATCTTGATAAGGCAACATATAATTGACCATGTGAAAATAATGATTACTTGTAATTATTCCTAACATTAAAAGTTTTATCTTGTAATTTGTTTATAGTCATTGCAAAAGCTTAAATGATAGGAAATGGCTTTCTGTATAAAATGAATAATAATAGAGATGTATTTTTAGCATTTAAAGTGATTTTTAGTAGAAAAACTGTTTATCTAATTTTTTCCCAAAATGTTATTTCAACCTAAATATAAAAATTTACCAACTTAGTTATTTTCAACCTTGCACCATTATGTAAACGATCCAATATACTCAAACTTCTTCTTAACATTATGACCACTCTACTTTTTTAATTCATTTTATAAGATGGTTAATCTTTACCAATGTTATTAAGTATTTCCATCGAACAATTAGTGTAGACAGTATCGACAGATTAATTAACTCCTTTAAATTTCGCTTTATCAATACTGTCATACATCTTTATTTTACTTATTATCTTATTTACAACCTTACAACTTTCGAAAATTTTCTGTAAAATCAGTTGTATATTTATTCTAAGTATTTTCACCAAAAATATTCTCTAAATGTAAGGACTATGCAAAAAATTATCTCAATTTATATGTTAAAAAAATGTTTCTTTAAATATATCGTCAATGTCAGTGACATGTTTCATCAATTCTATTGCTACATCGGTATCTTTAAATGTTTTATCAAAGTTGCAATGAAACTAGCGTCTCACAGTTGAGCGACCAACGAAGTAGAGGAAATGAGCCCGACGATGTAGTAACTGTTTATTGTACTTTAAAATTTTTGTAATATTTAATCTTGTAAGAAACAAGGACGTATAAATTTCTATGAAAAAAATTTTAAGATAGAAAGTTAACAAAATTTTATGAAGGGATGTGTGGGTGTGAGTTCTGTTCTAAGTCATTGGCTGCATATCTAAAGATTTCTTTAATTGAGTTCGATAAATTTTGTCATGTTATTTTTGAGTATGAAGATTTTGTATTACTGCTGAGACAAGCAATTCTTATTTCTATTACTTGATTTTTTTTTTCAAACTACGTTATTTGCTTATTTTATTTATTTAATTACATTAAATGTTAAGAAAAATGAAAGAACGTTAAATTTCTCACTATTTGAATGAAAATAAATAACAGTGTGTTAATAAGAGTAAGTGCATGAGTAATGCATGAGTTCAATAAAATTTGAAATTTTGTTTGGAGAATTTCTATTAG